AAGATCAAGTAGAATTTTTACTCAGAATGGAAGAAAACTAAAAAGTATAAATAAATAAACAACTTTCCTTGAAGGCTTTAAAGAGAAAAGTTGGTGACAAAGAAAGCACTTATCAAACTCAAAGGAGAAAGAAAGAAAGGGCTAAGTCGATACAACGGTAACTCAGTGAGACTAAGATTTGAGTTTGAGACGATGTTAAAGACTAAAGAGAAAAGATGGAGTCAAAGCTCGAAAGTTGAAGGCTGTATGGATTATGAAGGTTGAAGAATATGAGAAGAGTTTGAACTTTGAAGAGTTAGAGTCTTATAGAGTATTAGGGCAAGCAAAAGTAGTAAAGATTAGGAGGTAAGTCATAAATGGAGTGGGATTATTTTTGCTTTTAGAAGATGATTTTTTTTTTTTTTGTTTCCCGTCCGGTATCGGGACTTCGCCCTAACTAATCCGGATCGACCCGCATTGCGCACCTGGAAATGGTGGGTAAGTCTCCCAACGAAGGCTGCTGCGTACACAAGATCTCGAATTTAAGACCTTGCTTAAGCTGGAACAAGCCGCTTACCACTTGATCCAACCCCTCATTAGTGCTTTTAGAAGATGATGAGCCAAGAGAATCAATTAGTTAACTAGGGAAAATTAGTCAATTATTAGAGATTTAGGTGGGATTGGGAATTAGAAAACAAAATAAATAAATTTTAAATTTTAAATTTTCGAATCGATAAACGAGTCAAACCCATTAACCTGGTGGGTTAATTTGTTATTGACCCGTGAGTTGTTGGGTTCTTTTAATGGGTTATCAATGATTGACCTGTAACCTGTTGGGTTCTTTTAATGGGTTATTAATGAATCATGTGTCATAAATATCTGACTCTAACCTGTTTTAAACAAACAGGTAATGAGTGGGTTAACGAATTGGTAAAAAATTGCTAGGTCTATTAAGAGGTAAAATGATTCGTTTATTGCATATTTTGATAGGAATATAAATCCTCATCATGTAATGTGATGGTAACTCTATCAC